AGGGAAAGAAATAGGGAGTTCTGCTTTGAAGATAGAAACTTGTATAGAGGAGAGAGAATGTATGAGGAAAATTGAAAAATTGATTCAAACTTGTTACTATGTTTGTTTACAAATGTCATCATATCCTTTTACTAGATAGGATTACAAGAGGATTGTTAATGAAACAACTAATAAACGAAATGATACTTTCCAAAAAAAACGCAATAGAAATGGCAAAATCCTAGTATTTATTTATCATGAAAAACAGTAATTAGAATAATCCAAATGCTGTCGTGAATTGTGCCCTGTACTGCATCAAATTAGCTTGATCCAATCTTGATTAATGCTAAGCCTAGCTTATTAATTTTTGTTTGATTTTTATTTTTAGAATAAATGCCTTATCATATGGCAATTTACATTTTGATCCAGGTTCAAGTTAGCTTGATTCAATTGGGAGAAAACTTAACTCAAGTTTAATTTGAGCCAACATGTCTCATTAGTTAGCTCTTGATTTTGATTTAAGCTTAATACAGGCAATAAAATGATTCAATCTTTATTGTATTTTGATCTTCGAATAATATAAGCATATATTATATTATGAACCATATATTAGGGTGGCATAAACTATGTCTGTAACATATTGAATTTTTTTCCAAATACAATCTTTATGTTTTGTTTTGATACATCACCAACAAATTTTCATCATCCATCACAAATCCCGAGGCATGACACGAATCTCGAGGCAACCTTTTAAGTAAGAAACATTCAAATTTCAATTAAAAGTCATCTAGAGCTCCGATTTCAACAAACTTATAATCAAACTGACCGAATCGATGAGACGGACCTAATGATATCTAAGTTAGTCCAATTTAAGTCAAATCAAACCCAGATCAAGTGATTAAATCATTTTTGGAAGATTTCCGGATACATTTGAAAGATCAAACGAATGTCGAATTCAACGAGTTCATACTCGAATCGAGCGTCTCGACAAGACGAATCCAAGGAGCCCAAGATTGCTTAATTCTGACATCATTAAGACACTCAAATGTCCATCAAACACCATCAGATCAAAAAAAGCTCTCCAGATCGACTGATCAAAGTGGTTCATGTTCTTGCATTAATTGCACCCAAAACACTATAAATAGAGCCTCACCCCTCACATGAAGAGGGGAGGCTTGAGAGAGAACTTGAAACTTTGAGAAGGAGCTTAAGTCTAACATCATCCCTGCCATCGCAGACCGCCGTCGACCACCGCAGTCATTACTGACCTCCGTCGACCACCATCGACCGTCATCATTTGCCGTCGACCACCGCCAATCATCGCTGACCAGCATCGATGGTCAACGATCACCGTTAACCTTCGTCGATTATCGTTGGCCGCCGTCGACCACCGCCGATTGTCGCTGACCTCCGTCTACCACCGCTGGCCGTCATCAACTGTTGTCGACCACCACTAACTAGATGCTGTTAGTCGATGTTGCACCTTGGAAAATCTAGTAACCATTTTCTGTTTACGGGACAAGGGGTCTATGTAATCATCAACTTATAGTAAATTTTTATAACTGGGTCAGACGCCGTAGTTTTTTCCCTTTATGGGTTTTCCGCGTAAAAACTTCTGGTTTCATCACAGGTTGTTTCCCTTTCATCTGAGTGTGTGCGGAATCCTCATGCAACGCTAAGACAACGCTAAGACACTCTACCGCTGTGAATTTTCTAGCACACATCAGTTTGGTGTCGTCTGTGGGAAAGTTTCAGAAAGTTTCAATCCGTTTCAATCCCACAACTAAAGTACTTACATGGTTTACTACATGACCACCAGACACAATGGTCGTGAAAACGGAGCATCCCGCTCCAACACCCATCGTTCCAAGGAGCAATCACGAAGCCAATGACGACATGCTTCTTCATCTTCCCACCTTGGAGGACGCTATCTTGCCAACGAAGGTGTTTCAGGTCATTCTATAGAAGATCGAATGAGTATAATGATGGAGTTTCAACTAGAGATCCTACAACTTCTATCGGAGGCTTAATAGCCACTGCCTACATCATTGGATGAAATTTGTTTACCATCAACTCCGCAACGTACGAGAAACATACCGCTTGTAAGAACTCGTACCGACCCGCCCATTGGATGAAATTCGTTTACCATTAACTCCGCGACGTATGAGAAACATTCCGCTCGGAGGAACTCATGTCGGCCCGCCTCCTCAGAAAGGAACACATCCCCTATCAGATAATGTCATTCGCAATGAACTACGACGCCTCGTCCGTGAAGAGTTCCCCTTAGAAAAAAAGGATCGCTTCTACACTCACCGTAACATCCATGAATCTTCTCTCTTAGCGAATGCGGTCCTCCAACACCCCATCCCAACAGACTTGGAGCTTCCGAACATCGATACATATGAAGGGATAACCGACCCTTACGAGCATATTGATCATTATGGAACCATCATGTAGATTCAACGTGTCTCTGATGCGCTTCTGTGTTAAGTGTTCCCAACTACTCTTAATAGACAAGCTCGAACTTGGTTCTTCTCTCTGCCACCTTTAACGAGCTTGCCAAACTGTTCGCCAAGCAGTTCATCGCAAATCGAAGGATCATCAAGGATTCATCCCATCTCTCAGGAATTCATCAAAGTGAAGGAGAGTAGTCAGATTAAAGTTTGTCATCGACTGTGAAGTACAAAACATAATCATCTACATTGATTCTCAACTCATTGCATCCCAGGTAGAAGGTGAATTCGACGCTCATAACTCACAACTAGTGCAGTATCTCAGTCTAGTAAGAACACTTCTCGCCCAAATTGAAACATGCCAGCTCATTCACATACTTCGGGAGCATAACACCCGAGCTGATGTCCTCTCTAAACTTGCAACTTCGACAACCGGAGATCTCTATAAAAGAATATGTATTCAGGAGATACATTTTCCTAGCATCCATGTCTCAAAAGAGCCATCTTGGATGGATCCCATCATCTCATTCCTCCGAGATGGAACAATACCAGATGATGCTACTACATCAATTCACATTCAATGCATGACTACCAACTTCATCCTTATAGGGGATGAACTTTATAAGAAGACATTCGTAGGTCCATACCTCAAGTGTCTTCCTTCATCTGAAACTGATTACGCTCTACGAGAAGTTCATTCCAGAACATGTGGGGAGCAGCTTGGTGGTAGGACACTTGCTCTTAAGATAATGAGGCAAGGTTTCTACTGGCCCACAATTAAGCAAGACGCTTTAGAGTTTGTACAAAGATGCAAAAGTTGCCAACTACATTCCAATCTTACGCATGTGTCGCCGGTAGAACTCACATTATTTTTGATTCATTGGCCTTTAGCCCAATGGGGGTTAGATATCATGGGATTATTTCCACTAACTATTGGGCAACGAAAATTCATCATCTTAGCTGTCGACTACTTCACCAAATGGGTAGAAGCGGAGCCGCTCGCCAATATTCGCCAATATAATGCCAAACAATTTATCTGGAAAAACATCATCTGTCGTTTTGGGCTCCCCGCGAAGATTATCACTGATAATGAAACTCAATTCACTGGAAGGGTCTTCATATCATTTTGCAGGGATCTTCACATTTAGTTGGTGCACACTGCAATGGCGCATCCCCAAACAAATGGGCAGATAGAGGTGGCGCATCCCCAAACAAATGTTGCTCAAGGGGTTGAAGTTTCGTCTTGAGAAGGCTGGGGGGCAATGGGTAGAAGAGCTGCTTAACGTCCTTTGGGCCTATCGCACCACCTCTCGTACTCCAACCGGGGAAACTCCATATAACTTGTGTTTCGGCACTGAGCCTGTTATCTAAGTTGATATCGGAGTTCCAAACCCACGAGTTAAGACTTTCGACTCAGATAGCAACGAGGAAAAGCTCCGACAACATTTGGATCTCCTCCCAGAAACACGTGATGTGACCCATTTTAGAGCTGCTTCCTACTGCCAAAGAGTTGCTCACCACTTCAACCGGAGAGTCAAGCTTCGACTATCTCTATATGTGACCTGGTCTTGCGTAGCATTGAAGCCGTCGGTCATGGTCCTCAATGCAATAAATTATCATCTCTCTGGGAAGACCCATATATCGTGACTACCATGATCAAGCCTGGAACCTTCAAGCTCATGAATTCAGATGGAA